CTTTAAATACTTCGAATTTTGTTTTTATTTTATTTTAAAAGTTATTTTAATAATATATGCTTTAGATTCTCGCCTCTGCCATGGCCTATTAGAGAAATTTATAATTTTTAAATGGATTGACAATACGTAATCGGCCGGTGTCAGAGCGAATGATACGAGCAATACCGCTTTCTGCATTTGTGCTAAAAGCGTTTTTCTTTATTATTCTAATGGCTTATAAAAATTTCTTAACAAATGTTAGTATTATACAAATCCCAATTCAATTACTCCATCTAGTAAGCGGCGTCATTACGTATACACACACTGTGACGGTGTGACCTCCTTACACCGTCATCTCACCTGTTTGTAGCGCCTCTCTCCGCTTGTATCTTATCATTTTTTTTATTTTACTTGTATTTAAATTTTAAGTTTGAATTGTTCCATCTTCCTTCACTTTCTCATTATGTTTTCGTACCACGGTCACTCCCAGCTCGACCGCCACAACAGTCAGAGCTGTTAATAAGCTAATCATGTGTAATAATTTATAAGTCTACAGCCTTTATGTATCTATTTCTGTAATTCAGTTTCTCGGCCCATTTAGGGGTAAGTGCCTTAATAATAAAGTGTAGGGAGTGTTTTATACTGTTATACCTGTTTTTTTACATTTACCTTTATATTGTTACAGCCTTTCTTTAAACTTTACTTCTTTAATAAATTTTGTGGACCGGAAGTTTCCCGTTTCATTGCCGTGAACCTGTTCACGGCTAGTTAGGGTTACAACCCTTTCAACACTACATCTTTAATGCCGTGTTAGATTGTAAGATGTCACTTTAGAGCTCACCATTTAGTTGCTATATACATGGTCGTCATTTACAAATAAAACGTAATATAAATGGAAAGAAAAAAAGGACTTTCCTTCCGTGAACGATTCAAATCTCGGTGGAGGCATTAACTTTAACTTCAAAGTTTTTAAGTACTGACAGTTGGGAAGAATCCTTTGATCTAAGGTCCAGAGATAAAAGCATATGGTATAGAACATAGGTTTCCAAACTTTTTATCTCACCGCCTACTTATGCATAAAAAAAATATATAGGTATTATAGTATAAATAGAAAATCAGGATTTTTTCAAATGCGGTAGCAACCCTTGGACAACATCAACGCCCCCCAATTGCTTTCGAGCCCCTACCTACTAGGACTCTTCACCGTCCACTGTGGGGCGGTAGGTACCACTTTCGAAAACTATGGTATAGAACATTACAATGAGAGGCACTCCGCTCCACATACCGTGGTATTATTTCTGAATTGTGCAGGCTAGATGTTGTTACAATATTTAGGCCACGTTCCGGACATTATCCGTCGAACAAATATGGATATCTTATGATAGAAGTGAATTCACCTAATTATGAAGTTTGTAATAAAATTGAAGACGTCCAACACTTGTTGGCGGAGTTTACCAAGAACGAAGGCCAGCGACAACTACTCATGTTCCTATTATGTTCTATATTATGTTCCTATTGAAGGTGGTGGCTGAAAATCAGTGCCTTGCTCGTGAGCAAATTTTGCACTGAGCCACGACCTATTTGGCTTGCTTTAGCACACACACACAGCTGTTATAATTAGGTTAGTATTATGTTTTTATGCTTTTTTTTCCTTTTTAAATTTGGTTTCTGTGTGTCTCTTAATCAATTTACTGTATTATATTGTTGTGTGTCTCTTAATCAATTTACTGTATTATATTGTTGTGTGTGTGATGCAAGACAATAAACGTTTTATCTATCTATTACAATTAAACCGCTCCAACATCATATTCCTCCAAGGGATTCTATCAAAATATACAAAAATTTTGTGTGATATGGTAAATCGGCGATAGTTTAGATAATTTGAATAAGATTATGATAGGACTGGCATGTTCTCTGGAACAAAAGTCCGAAAACAAAATAAAGATGAGAAATAAAGAAAAATAAACTTCAAGTTCCATATTATATTAGTGAATGTTTACCATTACAAAACGTCTAAGGTCCGCAAGTATAATGGATGAATGATGATGTAAATAAAATACCACATACGAAAACTAACAACAGTCTCAAATACTTAGAATCGTAAACAAATTTTCAATCACACACCATCCGTAAACACACGGTAGCGACGGTTCTTTATGTAGGTTGCTCTCGTAGAAACACACAGGCTTTAAACAAATATTTGTGTACGTAGGCGATCAAACGAGCTTTGTGGGAAACGGAAATACTGCCGCTTCTAGTACGTTACACTGGAAAAAAATGTTAGATGATAATACTTTATCTTATTTCCGATTCAAACACAAGTTGATCAAATACAATTCCTGCTTGCGTTGCTCTTGAGGCTATAAAAGTATAGCTTGATGAGCTGTTGACTATACATTGCATTAGGTGCTGTTGTATATTTTTGTTACAGGTTCCGTAGTCTTCCACCCTCGCCCAATGCGGGGTTATTCACTTTTATCCTCATGCATTTTAGTAAAGTAGGGCTCGTTGTAAAAGGGTTCATTCAAGGATATACTGCCACCTTACCTATTTCTGCCGCCAAGCAGTAATATCAGCATTACTGTGTTCCGGTTTTAAAGGGTATGGGTGCTGGTGAAATTACAGGCACATGGGACTTGTCAACTTATGTCTCAGGGTGACGGGTGCAGTAGCAGTGCCCCTCAGATCTTTGCGAGCTCTGAGTGGCACTGCAGTTGACCTGTTCGTCATGCAGGTTCACTATGTTTTCCTTAACCGATCGAAAGAGATATTGCTACTAAACAAATGTAAGTTCAAAGGTACGTGTCGCCACTGGGATTTGAACCATCGACATCTTGGATTTGTATGCCTCACAAATACGACAAATACCCAGCTATTATCATTATCCACAGCACGACGTTATCCGCAGCTAAATGTAACTGTAATAATGTTTAATGTTAATTTTAACAGAGTTAACGTGCGCGTGCGATGCGTCCATTTACACCGATATCCAAGCGTCGTAATGGAGGGGGCCGGCTCGTAGCGCACCTTTATTTCCTAAACACCACACAAGAACAGAATAATGTTCTCTTATCTGTTTGAATTTACAAATATGATGACAATGTCATACGATTACGATCGATAAGTGGTCTCAATACGTGTCACGCTTGCGTCCTACGACTTCGTTAGTGCCTAGAATATATTTTTGTAGCTTGTATACGGAGTGGGTTAGGCCTACATCGAGAATAAATCAATTTATTAAACAATTAATTATACACACAATTGCCACATAGGTCCAAAACTCGTCTATATAGGCTTATTTTTAACCGAGTTCTTTTTTCTTTTTTTTATATAAAAAATAAGTGCGCATTTGACCTCCATCTCACCTGTTGGAAAGTGACGACGAGGTCGACGATGGAGCGTGCACACCTAAACAATGTCTATTCACTCTCGCCTTGAAAAGGCCCAAGTTATAACGCTCAAGGGAACAACCCGGCAGGCAGGGAATTCCACTCCATAGCCGTTCGTCATATAAATGTGGAAGCGTAAAGCTTCGTGCGACTCCTTGGAATATCCACAACATAGGGGTGGAACCCAAGCCTACGCCTAGTCCCCCGGTGATGAAAAGGGGAAGGCGGAATTAAATCGTGTAATTCCATAGCACACTCTCCGTGATATATTCTGTAGAATACCGATAAGCGAGCAATTTTACAGCAGTGTTCAAGGCTTTGCAGCTTCGCCTCCACTAATTCCGAGTCACCTATAAGCCTCTAGGCACGCTTGTCAATTGAATCCAAGGTGGCCAGTTGGTATTTAACAGAGCCATCCCATAAGTGGCAGCAGTACTCCGTACACAACCGGACGTGTGCTTAGTACCAGCTTAAGCAACTGTCCCGGTGTGAAGTAACGCCTCACCTTGAAAAGGATGCCAAGCTTCCTGGCTGCAATTTTGGCCATGGATTCAAAGTATCGGTCGACAGGTCCATTCTAAGTTAAACAAAGTCACTTTAAAAAAGCGGAGGATCTCAATTCGACATTATGATTTTTTTGTTGTATGTATTGTATGTGTTGTATGTTACGCGATAAATTTATGAACCGATATTGATGATTCTTTTTCTGTTGAAAAGATTGTACCTCAGAAGTGGTTTGGAAATTTCAAGAAAATACTCCACCGCTAAGGATGGCAAACTAGGGGATGAGTCTAATAGATGTAATTTCATTAAAAAAAGCCGATAAACAAACTTAAAAAACAAATATAATTATTGCTGTCCAAGCATGCAGAAGCTGTATAATAACAACCTTTAGTACAAAGTTTTTGTTTCACTATTGATTTAAACCTCGTAAATGGCAAACTTGAAATATTATTCAGAATCTTATATAAAAGTGTACACATTGTCCCATAAGTGAATATGTGACTTTGTGAAAACGAGTACTAAGAACAGGAGTATATTCCTCGTATTAATGTTATAATATGTATTGTATATCACCATTTTTTATAAAAATACTATTATTCTTGACATTTACCTACACCTACACAATAAGCTTGTGACGCAAACACATTTTGAGAGTTGAGTGATAAAAACGGAACCTGTAGACAACGATGGCTTCAAATATGGAAATGAAACTAGTTTTACGGATCTTAGTATTACGGATTTTAGTAGCAGTGAAAGACCTTACCTATTTCTACCGCCAAGCAGTAATGTTAGAATTACTAACCGTGTTCCGGTTTTGAAGGGTAAGCAAGGGTACTGGTGCAATTACAGGCTCATGGGATTTAGTAACTTATGTCTCAGGGTGATAGGCACAGTGGCAGTGTTCGTCAGATCTTTGCGATTTAAAGCCCTGACTGGCACTGCATCTGTTATGCATTACTATCAGGCTCACGACTTGTTCGTGATGAAATGATTTTCATTATCGAAAAAAATCTAAAAATACTAATAACGGATATTTTGACAAGCAATCCCCTCTTTCTATAAAAAAAATCATCTAATTCGCTTTACAAATCGCCGGAGTAATTACCAGGACCTTCCTATTGTTTGCAGGCTCCTCCAGGCATCCACGTATGGCTTCCGTTATACTCTCTCCATCGCGACGAAAGATACTGGACCAACCCGGACGTTTTCGACCCAGAGCGGTTCACCTCACGAAACAAGGCGAAAATTGTGCCATATACATATTTACCATTTGGCACGGGACCTCGACATTGCATAGGTAAGATGTGACCAATTATGCCAGTAGAATGACATTTAATGAACGTGACCGTCAGGATGGCTGGTCGCCTATCCCATCTGGCACTGTTTGCTACCTTTTCTAAATAATTGCTACCTTTGATATATTCTGAGAAATCAAAAAAATAATTGACTAGCCATTCTGACGTCAGGATGGCTGGTCGCCACTTTGCTCAGCATTAAGGGAGCAGATTTTTCCAGAAGTATTTATTACCAATAATTGCTACCTATTTGCCACCTTCGCGAACTAAAGGTATACGCTTCTTATCTACATTAGTTAAAAAAATATAACTGATTGAACATTTACGAAGAAGTGCCTGATTAAATTAAAAAAGCAAAAGTTTTTAGTGCTCTATTGCCATAATATAAAAGGCAGGCGTTGGTACTTCTTAGTAAAATTTTGTAGTTCTTCTTAATAAAAGTGCCAGATGCGACAGGCAACCAGCCATCCTGACGGTCACTAACAAACACCCGAAATTACAGAGACTAAAATAACAATAAACAGACGTTTTATTGTATAAGTACGTTTTATTTTATTGGGCTGGCGTAGTAGTGATAAATCTAGACAGATTTATCACTACTACGCCAGCCCTCATTATCAACCTTATACATTCCATTACAAGGCTTAATTTCTAAAATATTCATGTCGTGCAGTGTACCATTATAGCATCATGTAATCTACCAACACGCGCTGTCCCAATGTAGGTCTGGGACTTCGCGAGTTCTCATAAAGCTTTCGGAAATGTTTTCGACATAACACGTTCCATTACGATGTTTTTCTTTATCTTTAAAAACATAATAAATAACAAACTTATCAAAAGGATTTACTAGGCCCAGTAGAAGTCGAATTTTGGACCTCTCATTTAAGAAGTAACCTGTATTCCAACTGGGTGACTAAATATACTAACACTTCACATTTTTAATAAAATCGTAATTTTTTATATGTTTAATTAAAGCTATCAGGCCACTGGACAGAGCCTCAGAGTTTTCAGCTGGAAACTCTGAGCCACTGTCCAGCACAAAGCCGAGCTGGCGAAAAGGCTTTCGACTATTATTGTGTATGTAGTTTTATTTGAATATTTTATTTTGTTATTTCTTCACCGAGTTCAGTTAAACATATTATGTTTGTGTATATATACGTATATGAATATGATTACAATATGATTGTATGTGAATACCCGAATAAATGTTTATTTCTTTTTACACGACGTTAATTTTAGAGATTATGACAAGATTAAATGAAATAAATCAGTCGGTACAGCACTGTGGTTATTTATTGGTGTAAAAACGACGTCAGTAAACATGAACAACGTTAATAAGAAGATAAAAAAACGTTGGCAGACTTGCAAGCTTGCAACTAAAGGACTATTCATATTAGACTGTGCCGGGCGCGAGCCGTGTCCGAGGCATCCGAGCCCCGTACGTGGCGCATGATCTTAAATTAGACTGAGTTAGTCAGTAGGACGCGGTTTACATTCGAATACGAACGTAGTGTTAATGTGAAAATGAATATACAGCACGTCTGAGGCTCGGATACTCGATACGGTCTAATGTGAATCATCCTTTACTGGAGCGCGTGGCGTGAGGATCGGTAATCACGCTATAAGACGGGAGTTATCTTGTCATACAAAAGATCATAAATATTTTGGCAAAACAGGGTCGACGGCGAGAAGCGCCATCTACACTCGAAAAGACTAATTGATTATATCACTCGGTTTCTTCGCAATATCAGATCGGACGCTTGCAAGTACGCTTCGGGCGCACTAGATGGGTCTTTGGAGCAATTACTCAAGATTTCAAAATTTAAAGCCGCGATATCGCGCTCATCACGACATCTGGTGTACTAATCTTGATATTCATACCAAATAGCTATTTTTGGAACTAATTTTGTTTTACATTGATAAGCTGCAATTTATCAAAGCTACTCTAATTTCTAGTGATTACGAACAAAAAACTGCTATTCTTTTATTTTGTTTAGGATTAACGCCATCTATCTACCTATAGTAGGAAGCTATTAATAATTTATAACAAACGACAAGAAATTTTATATGGCAGTGAAACGTGGCCCGTACTTGAGCGTCATAAGCAGGAGCTGCGTGTCACGGAAATGAAGATGCTGCGCTGGATGTGTGGAGTTTCACGGAAAGACCGTGTCAGAAACTCCCGCATCCGCGGCAGCCTTCATGTCCGTGACATTGCAGATAAACTGCAAGAAAGCCGCCTACGTTGGTACGGCCACATCTTACGGAAACCGGCATGCTACGTGGGAAACAAATGTCTGGCTATGCCACCTCCGCCGGGCCCCGGTAGAAGGGGCAGACCCAAGAAGTGCTGGCTTGACGTCGCCAAGGGTGATATGCGTGCCAATGGTCTCACCACTAAGGATGCCGAAGACCGTACAAAGTGGAGGAGAAAAAGTAGGAAAGCGGACCCCGGGCTCCGCAGCAACCCTGCTGAGGACGCAACCGGGACAACGCTAAGATGAGAGAGAACAAACGACAAGAAACGATGCCATCTATTGACATGCAAATTCAAAGTTCAGAAAATAATTTTAGCTCATGATGAGTATTTGAATAATATTACGAGGGAAAAATGTAACTTCTTGTAATCCATATTAATGAGAAAGTAATCGATATCCACGATTATTTACATAATTTAAACTACTTCCAGGTTATTGATCAGCTCCATCTAGATGTAAGAATCTCGATGCCTCCAATGAACAATACGCCAACTTGATTTTTTGGCCATTTTGTGTTATTTTTGTAAACAGCCATACGTGAGGCGCACTATAAGTTTCCGGAATGAATAAGAAAAAAATACTATTAATGGTCAGAAATGAATTTAGGTATTGTTTCTCAAAATATTTTCCATTAGCGTTAATGCACTTTTTCATACGAATGAACCAATTTTGAAAACATTTATGCCACTCCTCCTTGACAATCTTTGAAACATATTTTTGACACTTTTCGACAACCTCTTCGAGTGATGAAAATCGTTGACCGCGTAACTGGTTCTTAATTTTTGGAAATAAATAAACGTCACAAGGTGCCAGGTCGGGACTGTACAAGGGATGGCTCATAAGGTCAACGTTGTTCAATTCATTTGTCTGTCTGGCCGTGTGAGAACTGGCATAATTATCGTAGTCTATGATGATACGGCGTTTACGGTTATTTTTACGGAGTTTGTCAATAACTTCCAGCAAATAAATGGTCGTGTACCAATCGCTCTTCACGGTACAACGATTCTCCAAAGCAACAGTAGCCACGTATCCAGTTTTATTAAAAAGAGAAGCAATCATCCGCTTAGAAGCACTTTACACGCGCGCCACTTTGGTTGGTTTCGGCTCATCTCGAAAGACCTATACGCTGGATTGCTGCTTTGTTTTGGGATTCCGCGCCCAAGTCCCACACCAAATTTGACGCCCCTTCGTTGAATCTGGTAAGCATGGCATTGCACCAAGTGACGCGATTCGTTTTTTGAGCCTCAGTCAAATTGTGTTGGATCCACCGAGAGCACAGCTTTTTCACACCCAAATGTTTGTGTAGTATTCATGGTATTTGACTCAAGCCTATGACTAAAGATGCCCGAATCGCATAGTATGTCACATGCCTGTTTGTTTTGATAATACGGCGCACAACATCGATGTTTTTGTTGTTCACAGCAGTGGATGGGCGACCGTCACGCAATTCGTCACTGAGATTCACACACAATTCTGCAAACCAGCTATAAATAGTTGTCTTGCATGGTGCTTCATTGCCAAAAGCAGTTTGAAGCCGAGGGAAGCTCCGCTGACCTGTTAAATTACACTTAGAGTCGTAGAAAATCATAAAACGAAAATTTTCACGAGTTAAATCCATGGTAATGAAGACAACCAATTTCTAAAATGACGCCACAATGTAACAACAAGTCAATAAGATGAAACAAACTGTATTCTACAGCCAAAGAGTTCCATTTCAAATGTTGTAATTACTTTTTAAATATTGTTTATGCAAGTGGCCAGTTCCGGAAACTTATAGTGCGCCCTGTGCATTGACTGCCCTGTGTATGTATTCACTAATATTATGAAACATTCGGAAAAAAAAACAAAAAAGAAACAATTTTGTGAAAAAAGAATAATGAAACAATAAACAAAATAAAATAAGAAAAGCAGCTACATTTTGTTTGCCTCTCCCGATCGGAAACTGCGTATTTTCCGATTCGAAGCGCATAATTGCTATTCACAACCGACCGATCGGAAATTTTTGACATTTCAAATCGAAACAATAGTTGATTTAACTCACAAATTAAAAAGATATAGTAGGAATCAGGTTCATCTTCTCGCTCAGAAACCTATCGGATTTCGAATGTTCATTGGAGGTAATTCAGTAGTATGGAGAATAATTAGCAGTTTACTTGAGTTATGAATGATCCGTAATGGGGTTGACACTCTAGAAGATTGTATTTCAATATTTATTTGCCCACGATTATTGTTCGTACTTTAAAATATTTTCTTCTTAAATTGCAGGATCTCGATTTGCAGTGCTAGCAGCGAAGGTGTTTCTAACAGGATTCTTCAAGAAGTACAGCACTCGATGCACAGAGCGGCCACGGCGATTATGTCCTAGGGCTTTCATTTTGCGACCTGCTGAAGGTTTTAACATAACCGTACAGCCGAGGAATTAATTTATACCACTTGTTACTTGTAATAAAATATATATATATATATATATATATATATGTATATATTGAAACCTTATTATTTTATTCAATAATAAATTACTTACTACACCCTTAGAATAATAACGCATAGAATGATAGTTTCTTTTTCAGTATAATAATATAATAACGCATACACTCAACATAGCCCCGCACTAGGGAAACCCTGTGTGGCGGGTGCCATGGACACACACATAGACAACCACAAATTACACCCAAACTCACGAGAGAAATAAATGTAGGTCATACAAATATTTCGCCCGGCCCGGGAATCGAACCTGGGACCTCTGCGTGGCAGTCCGGCATGGTAACCGTTCGGCCACTGAGGCAGTTATCAAGCAAGTGAGGCAAAAATCAAATTCATGTAGGCTAGTTTTAGTAGTAGGTTAATTTTCGGTTTTAGTGAATATTTATATAAAAATACAAGTTGAAACGCGTTACTTCCTTGTGGAATGTGATGTTAGTATCTATTTTATGTTTGTCTGACGTATTTTTACACTCATTTACCGCACATTTCGTCATTTTTAGCTAAAATTCTTGAGCTGTTCGCGGCGCAAGTTGACCTTGAGCACTGACGGCCCGCCCGCTCATGTAGGCCCTTTGGGCGCGCTTCAATTTGCCTCATTGAGCGTGTGCGGACTAGGTTTCTATGCTTTATTATTCTAAGACTACACCATATTGATGAGTTGGAAGTGCTATTATGGTGCGTTGGTAAACCTGTACAATACCTTTTATAGAAAAGATTTTAATTTTGCTTGTATTTTTATTTATATATTGAGCATAGACCACCAAAAACGTAACAAATAAAACGCAATATACTTACACTTATCCGCCATTTTATTGAGAACTGTAACTTCAAAAATCCAGCATTTTTCTATAAGCCATTCGCATCATATTTTACTTCAGGGGCCTACTATGAGCTTACAAGCGACTAGCCAAGTTCCATGCAATTCATTTGACGTGGTAAAACTGAATTGCTTAAAATTCGTATCATCATGAAATACACAAAGTTGAACGGGAATAGCATGACTGGATCACAAATTAGAAAGATATGGGCTGGATGATGAGTTCTACTTTTTAAACGTTAATTATTGTCTCTGACTGGCTAGCTGACGTCTCACAAGAGCGAGATGGAACTACGTACTAAATTATATGAAAGAAATAGGCAGATGTACTATCCAGGGAGCGTTCAAACGCTATCAACCGATTGTGTTCAAAATGAGAACTATTATATTTTTTTATTAATTTTATTATTGATTATACTTACTACGTTGTTTTGTAATATCGGCAACTTTTCAATCATATTTTACAATTTATCGTACGACACAATTACATGTCATGTGTAGTCATTATCATTGAAATTAATAAGGTGAGTTTGTAATTTGATAACATTATTGAAACGTATCTTGTATTCGTACATTTTCATTCATTGCATTTAAGTCAAATTTGGCATTATTTAAAAGTTATTTTACGATTTTCGGTAAATAAAATTATTAAAATTCCATTTAAAAACAGCAGTTTCAAAAAACGCTCTATAGTATTTATTTATTGACAATTGGCTATGTAGCCTTTATAGATAACAAATAATTATGAAACTGAAATTATAATAAAACTTAAACGAAATTTCTTAAAATGTAACAAAATCTAAAAAAAGTTAGTCGCGGAGAAACTTTTTCGAATTGCTTATTTTTACAGATGAGACCGCCATTGGCGTGGCAAATGGCACATCATGATACGATTTTGCTATGAAAGAAAAGGTGAACGGATTTCGAATGGGGAACGTAAACTGCATGGGCAGTGAATTGTTTTTGTGAGGTCATAATACGAATTTGACAGGCAATCAAACATAAAGGCATATATGGGATTGCTCTATGAGCTCATAGTAGGCCCCTAGAGCATTGCTATATAGTCCAATAATTATCCAAAGAGATGTTAGCCTCTATTTTACTTTTTTTTAATGAGGTAGTCTTTCACTGCGTTAAGTTGATAAGTTCTATATTTTTATAATTACATTCACGAAGATGCAAAATGTATTTACAAAATTTATAAAAAATTAACAATGTCTTGGCGGACTTCAGTAGTACTAAATTAATTATATTTACAAACGATTTGCAGATTACCATCCCACTCAATGTGGCTATAAATTGCTTACAAAATTAAGTACCGGTAACAGCGAAAAGATGATATTCTAGAAGCTGAGTTAAATAAGATTTTAACAGAAAATCGGTAGGTCGTTAGTAATCGGTCTATATTATATAGTACGGTAAATATTATATTGACTCATCCAGTAATGGCTTAACATCAAAATTCCCGATTCAAGATTCCCGGGCCGGGAGAAATATTTGTATGGCCTACACTTATTTCTCTGATAAGTTTGGGTGTAATTTGTCGTTGTCTATGTGTGTGTAGATGGTACCGCGACCACCATTTCACCAGCACCCTTGACCTTCAAAACCGAAACGCAGTAATGCTCACCAATTGCCGCCAGTTTTCGGATATCTCGATCAAAAATTTAAATTGATGTCGCTTTTAAAATACCAACATCGTTACCCCGTGTCCATGCAGTAGTGGAATAATAGCTATATCCCGCATGCCAAACACACATTAGTATTCGCTGTTATTGTAGCAAACGCAAATGTGACTACGCCTTGCAGCGATTATTGTTTCGATTTGTGACAATGACGATGAAAACAATTAAACAGCTGTTGTCCGCTTTGCCAGGATTACAGTAGGTCTAACCAGACAAGCATTACATGTGTTCTATAGTGACATGAGAATGAGAAGTGCTAGATTTACCACATATTCTCTCAAGGATTTATTACTCAAATAAAGAAAAATTTCTTTCAAAGGTCGAAGCATTTTTTATTTGCGTTCGATATTTGTATCGAAACTTGTGGCGTAATTTTCACAAGTATAAAATGACACGGTAATCAAACATCATGGTCTATTTTTTTTTTAATTTATTAAGGCTTTGGCAGAGCCATCAGCCTAAACATGAAGTTTAAATATGTTTCTGTAAATATGGCCGCCACAAAGAGGATAGGCAATTTGAGGCGGCGTGCTTGGATTGACTCGGGATTCCTTAGAACGGACCGATAAGGGTATTAAGGCACAATAGCACTATCCTATTCCACTTTAAACTAGATTTCACAAAATAGTTGAAAGTCAAAATAAAAACGACCCTTTTCCCTCCAAAAGGTCCAGAGCGAATCTCATGGTATACAATAAAATTATAGACAATTGGTTATTACTTTCGTAAAAATAAATTAACTCTATAAATAATTCAATCTACCATTGGACCAAGCACTTACTTAGCCATTATTTACTTCTCTATAGAAACCTTAGAAGACTTATCATTGTCATTCGACAATGCAACGAAGTATTAAAATGAGAGGACAATACGCCAGAGGAAGTTTGTTGTTCGAGGCACTGTCGCTCTCGCACAACGACACAATGCACATTATTCCATTATTTAATGAGACACTTTAAAATTTTAATAATGCTACGCGGCGTACAACTGATGTTACTTCCGAAGTTTCATTTTTGAAGAACAATGCATGGTGGAATTGTGGTTTGTTTCGTATATAATTTGTTTTACGCGACCGCGACGTCGTCCTCGATTTATTCAGTGGCGATTGTTTGTTTTGGGTTGACACGTTCCCCTCGGAGACATTTAAAGACGTCACTTCTGCAAACAACAAAACAAGTGGGAAAAACAGCAAAACAAACGCAATCACATTTCATAGGTAATTTTGCAATTTTCGGCTATTATTGCAATGCTCAAGTTAACTGATCGATTTGAAGTAAAACAATTGACGACACCCGTCAATTGTTTCGAATTCGGGCTGGCCAATCGGAGCGCAGTTGTCACAGTAATGATTTGGCAGAATAGTTTTCAAAAAATTAAATGACATTTCATCTCTATTTCTGGCTTAGGGGATGAAAAAAAATAGTCTAAGATTTCTGGTTATTTATGTACTCGATGCCTACTTAAGCCTTCAATTTCCAATTTGTGATGTTTAATAGCAACACCTCGCGCTAATGGTGTAGGAAAACATCGGGATGAAACCTGCGCATCAAAGAAGGTTCACATCCCTTGAAAAACGTGCTAGTCCCCATCTCGCGTTATGCCAGGGCAACAGACCATGACCTAAATTAAAATTGTCTAAATGCTGGAATGACATCCTCCGATTAATAATTAATTACATTACTTTTCAATTTGGTTCCGCTCTCACCGTTCCTCCTTCGGTCGACTAGAAGGTCCGGAGCACTCCATTCTTATGTCGTTGATATTCCACCTATTCGCACTAAGCGCTTTGCTTCCTCCTTTCTGATGCGTACGGCAAAGGAATGGAATGCTCTACCGGCATCTGTATTTCCCGAAAAGTACAATTTGGGGCTATTCAAGGCTAGAGTGAATAGGCATTTTTTAGGCAAACGCGTCCCATCGTCGGTCACATCGTCGCTTAACATCAGGTGAGATTGTGGCCAAGCGTGTGTCTATTATACTATATATAAAAAAAAAAAAAAAAGATTAAACTCAGCCAGCCATTGCAAACTTTCAAAAGAAAGTGTATGCAAAAGCTATACTTACAGAAACCATAATGTTGCTGGACGAATTGCTATCGTAACTGCATTAAATCGTAGCAAATCATTTCTTTGTAATGTTTTAAGTTTCTCCGTAGTTGATTTGTCGCCTAAGTAAATTTAAGTTTTGAAACCTGGCCCTGTACTGTCGTTCTCCGTCAGACGTACGTTCCAAACAATTACTCTCAAATAAGAGCGGTTACACACGGTAACTTTTAGCAGTGATGCAGTCGCTAATTGTCTAGCTTTACACACACGCACGATTTTAAGTCGCGAGGCAAATGCGATGCAAGCGCGCGACGTCATCGATACAAACGCGATTGCGTCTATTTTTATTTTATATTTATGTTATTTTATAGATTTAAAGTCTATTCAAATCCATTATACCAAAAAAGTAAACAAACGGGTTTGGTGAAAATTCTAAAGCAATCACTCAATAAATGGAAGAAGTAACACTTTCACGTATATTTTGAAGATATCAACTTGATATCTCATCACTATATCCAGCATTATT